ACATACCATTCTTGAGTGCTTGTACAAGTATTTGGCCCAGCCGCACAATTTACAGTTCAGCGAAATTCAGACGGTCATGTAATAGGAAGTGTATGATGTTGTGTGGGGGGAAGATGGAGGAAGTGGTTGTCACGCGCAGCTCAGTGGCATATTTTTATCAACCACCACCCGCTCGGTCACCCACCCAGGCCATCCAGGCAGGTGACCTACCGCGCAAGCTAACCAACCAACCCGTACATACCCCATGCATCCGTCCCGTGTATGTCTGTGTAGTTGTATATCCCTTTTTTTTATATATACATTTTTGTATACATTTCAAAATCAATTGAAATAAAAAAACAAAAACAATCAACAATCAGGATTCCCACCTGGTCACCCACGGTAGTACTAACTGATCGGCATATGGCTTAAGTACGGCTGAGCGAACGGGAAGCCCTGTATTCCATATCCTATGGTCGATTGCGAAAGAAAATTTAGAAAAGGGAAATATATACCTATAAATTCACTATCAACGTATGTCTGCTATGTCTCTACATCCATATCTGCATGCAAGCTATTCATGTGTCCGGATGTATGGACATATGTATTGTGATATGATGAGGTGAGGTGAACCAAGTACGGCCTTTTTTTTCGATTGTTCCTCTGTTCGGTCGAGGTTTGAGGGTCGAGGTATATACTTAGGCCTCACGCATCAATGAATGAATACTTGATGTACCTGTCACTTGTTGAAACCACCCGACACCCGGGTTAGATGGTCCACATAGTTTGAGGGACAGACAGTGGGCTAGAGGTCGATCGATAGGCATGGCGGTATGCAAAGGGGAATACAAAAATATAAAACACACACAATACAGAATACAAAAACCTCGACGTAATTCTCTCAAAGCAACCCTTATATACTAGCTATCGGTAAGTACTGTAGCTATATACATACATTCCATGGTAGCTACGTACCTCCCGTAACTCTCATACCACGAACGTGTCGACAAGCCATTCCATTCACCCGCTAGAACCAGAAGTGTTCGGATGCGCAATACCTTTGGCCAGAGAAGAACACAGAAGTCTGCCTGACTCAGATATGCACACGGCAAAACGTAGCAGCAGTCATGTCAACACCTGGAGCGAGTAGATGCTCATTTACAGTGGAAATGTCCCCCGCCCCTCAACTGGAGAGCCAGTGAGACATGGACAGACAGCGTCCCCAAGAAGAGAATGCGGTGATCCTGGGAGAAAAGAGGATACTGAAACAAGCACAAACAAGACGTTGACGGCAGAGAAACATACAAGGAGATGCTGGAGACGACCAGACCACTCGGTCGCAGGTTGCAGGTAAAAGAAACAAGTTGCAACAATGTCAAAGACAGCCAGAAGTGGCAGATCGATATTCACCAAAACTCATGTTCGCTCGGATGCAATATACTCCAATATCAGAGTTGTGGCAGCTCCAATAGCCGCGATCTGGTCTGATAAATATGCTGCTCCCTAGCCATCCTGCTGTTGGCGAAATCCTAACTCAGGTAAGTGGGCACATCTCTTCAAAATGGTATGTCCTGCTCTTCTCGTGCCTATCCCAGCATCTCGACATCAAGGCCAATGGCTCTCATGAATAGATTGACATTTCCTAGTCGGACGCTCGACATTTCAGGGGGTAATGTCTTGCTCTGAAGGACTGTCTCCATAACCCTGTCCTTCACACCGATAACAAGCCTCTGTTGTTGGTCGGGGCTGGCGCATATGCCGATGGCAGCCAGGAACTGCCAAACGTACATGTCGTCGCCGGAATTGACAGGGCCAGGGAATAGTGAACTAAGAAGAGGCTCCAACATATCAAAAAGGCGACTGTATAACGTGGTCCACTGTTGCCAGTCCTGATCACTGACAGAACCGGCCTCCTTCACCAATTCGGCGCGGGTCAACAGCATCGTCAGCATACCCAGCCCAATTTTGGTGTGCACAACCACCGAGATGTTTGTGTGGTCAATCAGAAGCCCTAACAGCCCGGTGATGATATTGACGGGTACTTCGCTAACATGCGATAACAAGCACGGCATGACGGCTTGTGAGAACAACTCGATTTCTTCCCGCACAAGTGGCGGAGGTTGTGATTCGCCGGGTGCAGGGTGCGCATCCTTGACTACATCGAGCTGATCAAGGTGGACCACAATCATCGTCAAGATGGTCAGTCTTTTGTCCTGATCAATTTGATGGAAGACACGAGGAATTGCCTTTTTGCCTTTGGCAAATGACAAGAAAGCAATAAAGGGATGTGGAATGGTCGATCCCGGAACGATGGGATCGAGAACCTTTAGATCTTGCCATAGACTGTTGCCGAGCTCCTGCTGCTTTTGTCGCCACTCAAGATGTGCCTGGATTGAATCTGCGTCGCCTTCAGTAGGTGGAGGCGGCATCTGTCGTTCATGGTCCTCCATGCGCATCAGAGTTGTATACACAGCTTCGATATTCTTCAGAATCGTCTTGCGGTCACTGGCACTTACACCTTTTCTCGCATTTGCCGGCCGGTTGTCAGTCCCCTCTTGTCGCTTGATGTTGAGCAGAGGCTTTGGTGTCTTTGCATTGCTGAAGGAGATTTTACCCAAGCTACCCTCGATGATTAGCTGCTTGTTCTTCGGTTTGAGCTTGGCAGCTTCAACTGCACGCTGGACTTGTTGTTGCATTCTCTGCATGTGGTTGTCTCCGGTGATCTGTTGCCGTCTGCCGCCTACACGCGAGCCCGTTTGGAATAGATAGGTTTGCGCAAAGTGACCTAGAGGTTGAGTAGGATGTTGTCTTGGAGCGCCCCGGATCTGGCTGTAGACCTGGTAGTAAAAATCTTCGTTCAGAGCAGCTTCGGGATTTGAGTCCGTCGAGCTGCCCGTGGCCGCCACCAATTGCTGAAGTTGGATGCGGGTGATGAAATTCTTATCCTGAGGGGTCATCATGCCATTTCCCTTGGAAAGCAGGAAAATCTTATGATTCCTCTTTGCCCTTTTGGTATCTTCTTCCAGATACACTCGTCGCTGTTCTTCAGAGAGATCCATTAGCTGTTGGGTATGAGTTATGACCGGCAAGGCACCAGGTGCTTGAGCTCCCATTGGTGGGATGGGTTGAGATCTATCAAGACTTGGCTGAGGTGAATGACGGGCTCTGTTTGGATTTTGCAGAATTTGCAGAGGCTGCTGAGGCTGCTGAGGTGCACGTGGCTGTGAGGCCATGCGCGTGTGCCTCCTAGGAGCGTCGAGAGGAGGCAGCGATTGAGGCTGGGGGGGCAAGCCGGGAGGAAGTCCCATGCCTGGGAAGTGCTGTGGAGGTTGTGAGTGTATTGGCTGGACTGGAAACGGATATGGCTGAGGTTGAGAATATGCGAGCTGTGCCTGTTGCGCTTGTGATTCAGCGAGCAGGGCTGCCTCAACCTGTTCGAGGGTCATCATTGGAGGTTGCGAAATGGGTGCCGGTGGAGGTGAAGGCTCAGGAGCAACGGAAAACACTGGAGCAGTGCTGCGAGCCGTACTTATGCGGCCATCGCCGGATGGAACAGCGGCTGTGCTTGACTTTGTGCCCCAAGCCCCGGATTTTGCCTGGATATCTGGAATGTAACCCGGATCTTGATATCTCTCATATCCGGTCCTCTTGGCCTTTGCGGGTTGCGCGGGCGCTGCCGATTGTTGTGGATGTTGCAAGTTGTAGCGCACATGCTCCTCGTTGATGACATTTGAGACCTGTGCCGTTTTCCCAAAAAAGTCATAATCTTGTCCCACGGCGCCCTGGCCTGTAGCACCCTCAGCGCCGCCACCAAAGGTATCATCGTTGAAGTCATCGCCGGCCTCTTCGAGTTGATCGCCTAGCCCATCGTATGTATCTTCGAAGTCGAGACTGAAAAAAACTTAGGACCTGTATATCATGCTTGTAAGGAATCGATCACCTACATCTCGTCCTGGTTGTCTTGAAATGCCTGCAATTTCCTAGCCTTTGCGACCTCGGCGAATGGGTTTGTGTGTTCAAAAATACCCTTGCCTGCGCCCTCAGGCTTGTCCCTGGGAAGGGAAGTGTCGAAGCCAAAGAACGACATAGCACCGAACCACGGAAGGAACTTGAACTGATCAGTGTCAAGATGGCGGTCCTGTTATTTTCACCTCACTGAAACCCGCCTCTTTTCTCAACAGTGACCAAAATGCAGTGCCTATTCGCATGATCCACAAAGGGAGACGGAGATGAAAAGCAAAGATACTATGACATGACCTGCGGGAGATGACAAAGTGAATCTCAATTGTCTGCAGACCAACGATCCAAGAATGGCGCTGTCGATGGATTGTGGGATGTAAACCGCAGGTGATGAAGAGTGGGCAAGTGGCAGCTAAGCGGAATCAGTGACGCACACTAGTCTCGAAACGGGCGAGCTGGCGATTGGTGAAGTCTTTGATGCTAAGCCTCTCTAGCCTCTAGTTGCAGCCTCCGGGGCCCTTCCCGCCTAAGTTGCCCATACCTAGCCTGTTAAGCCTGTTAAGCGGGCACAAACACCATGCCCGTTACTCGAATCACGCATCCAGATCCCAGCGTCCAGGGGGCCAACTTCCATAAAAGAAGCCCACGTATTCAGCCCCATGTGCCCGAGACTTGCTAACTGGAATTGAGGCGTTCCCCTTCTATCACTACAGAAAAGTTTCCTGCAACACGTTGGTCTCGGGGCTTGCGCGTCGTCCTGCGGCTCTCCCTATTGCGAACTGAAATGTTTCCTCGACCTGCCTCACTCCTTTAACACCTCCAAGTCCTGACCGAGGAAATTTCTCTTTTTCTAGGCCTCTTTCCACTTTGTGTCTTCGTTTCAGCGTCTGGGCTGTTCGGTTTTACCTTCACCGCATAAGCCTCATGTGCTGATCGCACCGTTTTGGCCGATCGTCCCTCGAGCCCTACTACTCCAGTCTATCCTGCGTATACGGCTACGGCCGGCTCCTCAGGTCTCTTCCTCATCTCCTGCTAATATTGCTGGTCTCTCCTCATCAAGGATGGCAACCGGCTCAGGGAGATATCTGCGTTATATACTGTTTGCTGTTTTCGTGAGTTACACGGAACCCAGCCAGCCCAGGTGTGAGACATTTCATACTGACTTGACATGAATAGGGAATTACCATCATCTACTTTATTTCGACCTCGTCACTGCCCTCCTATGCACAGCCGCTGACTTCGGGTACCGCCTTCTCATGGGAACGTCCCGGAGAGTCCAAGTCGAGTACGAGCGCCGAGGATCTCGTTCATCTGCCGGAAACCACCCCTGCGGCAGATATTTCACAATCTGTAGAAACAACAACGCCTAATGTTGTCCCCACTATTCCTTCAGAACTCTCATCTTCTGCTCCAGGAGAACGAGTGAATGCGACGTTTGTGACTCTGGCAAGAAACACCGATATCTGGGAGATTGCCCGCTCAATCAGACAAGTGGAAGACCGGTTCAACAGGAACTACAACTATGACTGGGTCTTTTTGAATGACAAACCGTTCGATGAGAACTTCAAGAAGGTCACAACTTCTCTCGTCTCGGGCAAGACACACTATGGCGAGATTCCAGTCGAACACTGGTCCTTCCCGTCATGGATCGACCAGAAAAAAGCTGAGGCGGTCCGAGAAGACATGCGCCGGAGGAAGATCATCTATGGCGACTCGGTCAGTTATCGGCACATGTGTCGGTTCGAGTCAGGTTTCTTCTTTCGTCATCCACTGCTCCAGCAATTCGAGTACTACTGGCGAGTCGAGCCCAGCGTTGAGTTATTCTGCGACATCCATTATGATCCTTTCCGGTACATGAAGGAGAACAAGAAGAAGTACAGCTTCGTCCTGAGTCTGTACGAATATGTCGAGACCATTCCGACGTTATGGGATAGCACGAAGAAGTTCATCAAGGCGCACCCTGAACATATCTCCCCAGACAACTCAATGGGATTTTTGAGTGACGACGGAGGTGAGACGTACAACAAGTGCCATTTTGTAAGTCCTGCAAGAAACCCTTTGTATTTGCATTTCTAACCTTTGTCAGTGGTCAAACTTTGAGATTGGTAACCTTGACTGGCTTCGATCTAAGCCTTACCTCGACTTCTTCGAAACCCTCGACAAAGACGGCGGTTTCTTCTACGAACGTTGGGGCGACGCTCCGGTGCACTCCATCGCTGCTGGTCTACTTCTGAGGAAGGACGAGATCCACTTTTTCAACGACATTGCCTACTATCACGTCCCCTTTACGCACTGTCCGACAGGAGACGACGTGCGCCAGAAACTCCGCTGCCACTGTAATCCGGCCGACAATTTCGATTGGAAGCCGTACAGCTGTACTTCTCGGTTTTTTGACCTCAACAAGCTTAAGAAGCCTGAGGGATGGGAAGCTCAGGTATGACTAGCCGCCGGTTCTGTTGGAAATCCAGGTAACAATAATGGAAATGGCAATGGTGACGGCGACAAGCAGAACGAGTCAGACTCGGGCGTTTCCCTGTCATGGGAGATCCTGAAATATGCATCCATATCGTTTAGCGTGGGGTCGGTTTTGACGATTATTTTGATGAGGATTCCCTGGACGAGGCGCAAGTTGCTTTCATGGGCGGAACGCCTTGCGGACTGGCACGAACGCGGGCTCACTCGTGACGAAGATGAGAATTGGTACAAAAGGCCTGAAAGGCCTTCGAAGCCGGAGAACTCTGGGTGAGCAGCTGCTCTCAGGCAACCTGGCCGTCGGACATTCTCATTATGCCCGAGCTCCGTAACGACTTTGCATGTATCCATACTTTTCACGGCCACGTCTTCACCATCAAACACCGTTCGGGGCCTCCTCCTTGTCAGACTGCCTCTCTTGGAAATTTGCCCCAGGACAGATACTCGAGTGATCTTGCGCACCGCGAGAGACTGACGGGCACTGGATCTCCTGTCTATCAGACGAACGAAAGGAACGTTGGGACTGTGTAGAGAAAAGTTGCCTTATCTCCTTTATTTTTGCATTCGAGGGGCGTTGGTTGGTCGATTGGGCTGGAAATCCAGGATTTGGACATTGGCAAGAGTGAACACATTTGCAGGGCAGAGCCGAAAAGGTGTTGCAGTCCAGACCGAGGCGAGGTTCTTGTCTCATCTCGTATTGTATTGTGATGGATCAGAGCTGGAGTGATCGACTCGTCAAGTCGGGACCGGAACTGGGAATTGCACTGTACCACACTAGGAGGAAAGGAATGAATTTGAACGCGCGAATGCACATTGCACATTGCACATTGCCGCAAGCGCCCTGTATTGTATATAGGGTAAACCAGGGATAGTCGGTAAAGGGACGAAACGACGTTATTGATATGTTTCAATTACAGCTACACGTATAGTCTCGGCTCTTGAATATTCAATTCTTTATTCTGAGAATATACATACATACATCCTTATGTCCCTTAGGGAGGGAGGACTGCCTTAGACACCACCTACCTAGGTGCATATCTATGAGTACCTTGTAGGTTATGATCCATCCATCCTTTCTCTCCTTCCAATTGATATCTTGAGGGAGCAATCTGTTTCATCCCCCTGCCTGTCCAGGTCGGCGGAGGAAGGGGGTGTCTGATATCCGCACAACTTTGGAGGATTGAGGTGCTCCTAAAGTCCACGAGATGGCTGTATATTGTGAGGGTAGACCTGCTCTCCTGGACAAATTCAAGTCCAAGCGAAAATGGATTGGTTGTCTCGTCCAAGTGTGTGTTACATGCATGTAGATCGGCGTGCCCAGAGACAAAGAGATGGCCAAGGAAACGGCAGTCAGTGGTGGTCCCATTGGCTGATTTGGAGTGAATAAAAGGGACGGTCGGTGTTGGATGTGCTGATAGATGTGGTCCAAGACGGGTTGAGGCTGTATCTCTGCAGCGGGTGTGCCTCGAAAGTTTGGTAGGTGTAGGATTGGAGAGAAAACCCGTGACTTCCTACGCGCAAAGGCTGTGATTTGTATACAACCCCAGGACAGGGAGATGATCGGGTTGTCAAGGCTCCATCTGGCTGGCAGAGCGTGGATCGTTGCTTGAGAGCACAACCAATTTGGAGGGAGAAGGATGGAACTCCGTTCCTCCTTACGTCCCCAACTCCCATCCACTCCCTCGCCCCTCCGATCCCTGACCCCAGATCCCCAAAATTCAAGCATCAACCCCAGAAAGCGTAGACCGCCATCATGTCGTCTTCGGCTTCTTGGTACCGTATTTGGACCGACTGGTCATTCGAGTAGGTACACCTCCCTATAAAGCGGCGTGAGAAAACGTTCCCACCCCAGTAGCGACACGCTAATACGAGGCGAAAGACCGAATGACCCAAGACTCACCAGATCAAAAGCCCCCCGGACCAAGTGATATCTGACACCAGGACAATCCTGACTCCTGCCGCCTCTTACCAGCACGACGCTGTGCTGCTGCACATTGTGGCCCTCGCCGGGGATGTACGCCGAGACGACCCTGCCGCTGGACAGCCGGACCTTTGCGGTCTTGCGCTGGCCCGAGTTGGGTTTCTTGGGCTTGGTGATGCCGACCTTGAGGCACACGCCCTTCATGGCGGGCCGCTTGGCGGCACTGAGGGCCGGGGAGACGGCGTGGCGTAGTTTCTTGGGTTTGCGTGAGCCCAGGCGCGTCCGGAGCTGGTTGAGCGTCACGGAGAGGGAGGGAGTCGTCGAGAACGCCCGATGGTGCGGACGCAGCGGCAGCGAAGACGATACAGCTCGGGAGATCGCTGGTGTATATTTGGATGCCGGGGCTGTGAGGCGCGTGAGGGCGCGGAGAGCGTGCAGGGCACGAATCGATGGGACGGTATGCATCTTGGGGGGGGGGGGGGTCGAGTGGTACGGGGTCGCAAAGGGGGGAGAGAAGAAACGAAGACGCGGAGTGGGAGCTATGCGAAGAAATTGTTGATGTAGTGCATTCATTGAAATTCGAAGCTGCAGCAGGAGAAACGACTTTGGAACCTCCAAGGCACTAAGCCTAATTGGGCCGCAGCCTTGTCGCTCAACTTTTCCGTCCCCCCTTCGAACGCAGGTAGTTATACACTCTGGCACTCAGGGTTCTTCGTGGATTTCGTTAGGCGCATCTCTAAGGGACCATCTCGATTTGTTTCTAGAAGAATATATAAATGGAGAGCTGAAACAACCACTTGAGAGGCGTGCATGCCACTCCATGACCGGGAATGTGGGATATTAGTTCTCAGAATGCTCTAAGAAGCTCACAACAGAGAGCTCCAAGAGAAGAGCGTCAGTGCGTTACAGCAAGATCTGGTTCTAACTGCCTGCAATACCCAACTCCCGTATTCTCCACCGACTAAACCCTATCGACCCGAACCTCTCTATCTCTTGCCTCCATTTCCCGCCTTTCAGCGTGACACAGAGAGGAATTCGTGCTCTTTTCCAGGGCTCATCCCGATCCCTTCTCCTTCTCCTTCTCCTTCGTCTCCTTGTCCTTGACAGCCCTCAGATCCTTCCAGAACCACACCTCGTCCACCAACCTCCCGTCGCGCGGCGAAAACCCGTACTCCCGCACGACGCCGAGCCTCTCGTACCCGAGCCTGGGGTAGACGAGCTCGGCGCCGGATCCGACCTCGGTGTCGAGCATGAGGTTCCACCGGCCGTGGGCGACGGCGACGCGCTCGAGCCGCGCCATCAGCCGCGTGGCGATGCCGCGGCGGCGGTGGAGTGGGGAGACGAAGAGTTTCTCGACGAGGGCGCGGAAGGGCCCCGTCTGCGAGAAGGGCGTCGCGAGCGTGACGACGCCGGAGAGGTCGAGATGTTCTTGCTCTGGTTCTGGCTCTTGCTCCTGCTGTTGCTCTGGGTTCGTGGGGTTTGTAGATGTGGGATTTTCGGGCGTACTCGTAGTAGTGATCTTGGTCCCTCCAAGAGACCCTGTCGAGGGAGACAGTATGACAGGCCACGGTCTCCCATTGGCGTCCCACGGCGGCGAGGGCGTATTCGTAGTCGTCACAGTGCGCTCCCGGACGCTCGACAGACAAATGAGAATATGTCGCTCGCCGCGCCCGACCTCTCTCAACCGCTCCTCCCACCACCGATAGATCTGCGCGTGCGACAGCGGAGGCAGAAACGTAGCCAGCGTGCCATCATTCAAGATACACGAGGCATGGATGTGCACGATCCCGTCGAGTATGGCCGCGGCGTCGGGCGTCGAGGCAGTCAAGAGGTGGATTCCTGGTGTAAGAGGCACGGACTCAGGCGCAGGCTCAGATTTAGACATCGAGATAGACATGGTTTGTGTGTGCAAGTCGTCGTCGTCAATAATCTCAAAACTCAAGGGTTTTCGAGTCTGGAATTTCTCCTAATATCGAAAGAAAATCTGTCCAAGATGTATAGAAATATAAAGACCAAGAAGTTCAGGGTTATGTTTGTGGTATATATATATATATACTTGGTATACTTTGCACGACTCGAACAAGCGAATCCAAACAAGACAAGAAAGAATACCGAATCCCTGTTCTGTGTCTCTACCACACTCTCTACCGCTCCCTGACGCATATTGGTCATATACATGTAGTCTGCAGGGCGTGTCTTTTTGTCGATAAGGGACCTAAGTGGGCACGGCGGGTCGCTTGGAGATGGCGAAATACTGATTTGTATACTTATATGTGCCAAAAATGTGTTAGCTCCAGGCACCCAGCTAGGCAGAATAACCACCAGAAGAAAAAGAGGAAGAGGCATCTTCCATCAAAGATAGTTAAATATACTAGCAGCATATGACCGTGCACCCAAATAATGGGTATATACGTGCAGCTCCTATCGAGTCGCCCGTAAATGCGCCGCCACGACATCCATTTCTGTAGATGAATAATTGCCGAACAGGGAATCTTCGGCTCACTGCCTACCAGATGAGATCACTTCGCTGCGTGGGAGACTTCTGGAAGCAGTGAAACCCTCTGCCGTTCTCGATACTCCCTCCTCAAGCGGCCTGGGTAGGAAGGGCTGCAATGCAGGGCCGTGCTCTCCAGTATAAGCGCTGTTCAGAGGGGTGGTCCACGAACCTGAGGCTCTAAAGTGGGGAGGGGCTCTCGTTGACACCGATGCTCAACATCTCGAGACGGATGGGTTGTCCCCAAGAGCGTAGACCGACCAAAAATTACCGCGCCGCGGTCAAACTCGCCAATGACTGGCCCTGGAACCACTCGCTTGTTGGTGAAGAACCCTCTTGTCCCAATATTTTGTAGGCGTACGCAGTCACAATTGGACGCTCCCGGAGAGGTGCAAGGCTCGAATAGACTCGATTTACCCTGTACCCATCGTAGGCGAGTCGAAGTGAGGTGTTCTCTGGTTGAGCGACTGCCAGCAACTTCGTAAAGGTCTCTTAGGACTTTGACAGTGGTAGCAAGATAGCTCATCTCTCTGGGCATGGAACGCCACTTGACGCATATATCTTGAAGCTGGTCGTTGTTCAGAGGACGCAGTATGTCCTCGAATCCGCTGGCAAAAAGGACCACGGCGTCGACGTCTCGTATTAGGGCTGGCCAGCCACCACATGTCCTTCTCAGGGTTGTCCGCTTTGTCCGAAAAGGAGAGCGCTCCTCAACCACAGACCTGTATTCATAACCTTGCAGCACTTCTTGTAGGGAGAAGTGGTTGCTCGTTCCGTGGGCTTGATCCCTTCTCACGTCTTGGTCAACCAGGAACTCGAGGAGTGACCAGTAGTTCAAAACGAGGTCTCTCAAGGTGTATTTCTCGTTCGAGGATTCGGTCAGAGTAAGCGACTCATTTTCCAAGAGTACCTCTTTAGCCTCTTTAACAGACTGTCCTGTGGTCTCGGGAGAAGGCAGGAGGACTGATGAACCGGCGACCACAAACGGCTCGAGCCGGTGACGGTGTTGGCACATGTGTAGGATGACTTCTGACGCCGGTACGAGCCATCCTCGTTGATCTGATGTGTCGTAGAGGACAACTCGGGTCTTTTCTGCCTCACTCACTATGCTCCGGTAAGGGCCAGTGCGATGGAAGTAGGCATTTTCCGTCCTTTGGCCCCAGTCTGAAGTCGATTTGTGCCACGCCAAATTGCTGAAAGCCCAAGCTTCCTCCTGTCAAACTGATCGACCCCCCGGCTTCTTCCGCGCCTGAGTAGTCGATGGAGCTGTAGTTGGCATCATGACTACCAAGCGAACAGCGTGTGGCAGAGCACCAACCAAGCACCGCACGCGTCTTCTGAAGACATTCAAGGTCGACTTCGTCCATCAAAGCTCGCTTCGGGCAGCGCAGGAGACCGTCACGATATGTGAGACGCTGCTCACAGTTTGTGTTAGCTAGAAGATGCCACTGGATAATATCACCTCTCTTCTCAGTAGGTACAATCATGCTGGAAAAATCCCTTGATGACAACGCCGCCCTCATATTCGACAGCGCGAACGGCGCCCAACAGCGCGGTGAGGATTTGCAGAGGTATCTCGAGTCCAATCTCATCCCGTCGTCGACGTATAGGAAAGCCGTAGGCGATCGACACTCCCGAGAAGAGTGGTAACCAACAGGCCTCTATGTTTGTGGGCAGTGGTCTGTTCACGAATCCCATACGGCTGCGATTGTCGCGGGGATCAGAAATAATTGGACGACAATAGTCGACCTTTTCATCGCCGAAATCGTCGCCGGGAGAAGATCGAAACGCTGCTCCAGCCCAGGCAAGCATCTGAACGAGGTGCCGTATTGTTTCCTCGTTCCCAGTGGCATCAATCCTCACCGCGACCCTCTGCCACAGTTCATACACGATTTCCAAATGCTCGCCATTCAAATGCCCACTGATGGTTTCGTGACCTATGACGAGGTTAGTACAGAACTTGCAAACGAAGAAGTATCAAGCAAGGCAAGGAAAAGCCACCTAGCGTCCTTGAGCCGTGGAAGGGTATGCTTTCGCTCCACCAGTGATCACTGATCACAACACTGAAGCCTTGTGGAAAGAGAAATGAAGCACAACGTACCCCGTTTTGATAGTACCCTGGACGATTCCCAGAGATGCTGGAGTAATCCAAGAAAAAAGACGGCATTGCTCGGCCATGTTGTGCGGATGTAATCACCGCAAGTTGTCGCCTGCGCATACAAACCGAACCAGTGAGGGTCACAACTGAATCGACCTTGATGTCTGCTTCGCCGAACTGCTTCTCGAGGAATTCGAAAAACGTCCACTCCACATCAAAAGCAACGCAGCCTCCCTTGTGGTCTTGGAGAGCCCTTTTGACAACCTTATCGATCAAGAGAAATTTTGAAACGTCTCCGGATTCTGTATTGCTTGTTCTCCTCGATCTTTCCATTTCCTGCGTTGCAATGGTAAGATTGGATAAATGTCTGCTTTCAACGCCACTTTTATTGCCGACCTGCGGCTGATCCAACACGAAGGGCACCCTTCGAGGTTGTTGACCTTCAAGGGTACTGTCACGCTTTGTATTCGGATTTACTCGACTCGCTTCAAAGTCTGCTAGGGGCCATAGAATGTTGTGGTAGCCTGTGCTCTGTTGTCTGCACATGTCTTCTCGGGTCCCTGCATGCTTTTCGAGGTGTTTCTGACGTGCCTTGTGTTGGAGATCATGTTCATCGCTTTTCCCGGAGGAGATCAGAGTGGGAATGTACTCATGGGGAGAAATACGGTCGTCCGAATGCGTCGAAATACCAACGTCCACCCCATCGCCGCCAGTCTCTCCCCTTGCGGACATATTTATAGCCTGACCACCGGAATCTGTTGTTTTGTGGAGGCCTCTATCGAATGTTGAGGACCGTGCTCATGCGGGAATGAGGCCTTCGCTGAACAACCAATACGCACGCGGGAATATGGACATCCCCAGTATGCTCAGTCTTTCAGCTCAGATCTGCTAAGTTGAAGTGAGTTTGCAGTATGAAGTTCTCGACAAACCCGAAGAAAAAGGAAAGCAAAGAAAGCTGCAGGTTAGGCTGAAGAAGAGAGGACAACGGTTTGTTGTGGCCTGGCAAGGTTGACAAGGAAGGGCAAGAACAAAAGTGCCTCACATAGGTCCCACGAATAAGGTCGCTCAGCTGATATGAGCTACGGATGTATGTAAGGCAGTAAGCAAACCAGGAGACAAGAATGTGCCAATCACTTACAAAGAAAATCGGGAGTCGCTATGGCTGAATGTCGGGCTCAGTCAAAGCGCCTCGCTTCATCCTCACAGCCTCGTCTCTGGGTTGGCACAGCCCCTGGCCCTCTGCGTTGCCGTGATGCGGTGCAATAACGGTAGATTTGTGCAAAGTAAAAACCTCCTGGAATGTGGCCATATCTGTCTGTCTTGAATGTGACATTCTTAGGATATATATGTTCTGGAGTCAACCCTGCATCTCTAATCCTCCCGTACCATGAATGGTTTCACCCGTAAAGTATGATCCCAAAGGTGACGCTAGAAACACATACGCCGTGGCCATTTCAACAGGCATTCCCGGCCGTTGGAGGGGTGCCTCCTCGACTCCAAGCGCAGACATTGCTTCAGGTGGGTTTCCTTTGGTAGCAGGCTGAAGCGGCGTCCAACTGTCATTGTAGAGATAATGTCAGTACGTCGTAGAGTTGAGAAGGAAAGTGGGTGCTGTAGAAGGAAGCTGTGATAAACATACATGATCCCAGGTGCAACAGCATTGACCCTGATACCCTTAGGCGCCAACTGCTGTGCCAGGCTCCTCGTGAATGTGGTGATGGCTCCTTTTGTCGAGCTATAGTCCACAAGTTGAGGATTGCCCATATATGCCGCAACCGAGCTTGAATTGACAATGCTCGAGCCACGCTTCATATGAGGAAGGGCGTATTTGACCATGGCAAACATGCTCAAGATATTGGTGCGGAAAGTCTTCTCCACAACCCCGAGATTGATGTCTTCAATGTCATTGCAGATCTCTTGCATGGCTGAATTGTTGACAAGGACGGACAATTTGCCGAATTTGTTCATGTGTGCCTCGACAATCTTCTTACAGTTCTCTTCCGAGGTGACATCCAGGGTAAGTGGTTGAGCTTGCCTGCCTGCCTTCTCAATCTGATTCTTTGTCCATTGGGCATCTTCCTCTTCTTCTGGAAGATAGACGAAGGTGATGTCGGCACCTTCGCGCGCCATCAGCACAGCAACGGCTCGTCCAATACCAGAATCCCCACCCGTCACAATCGCCGCTTTATCCTTGAGCAGGCCACGACCCTCATAATCTCTCAGATAGGGAGCATTCCCTTCATCGTCCCAAAACTCGAGCTGTGTCCAGTTGGCGTTTGGCGCGAGCTTCGAATCAAGTCCTTTACCGCCTTCTTGGTCTTGTTCCTTTAGCGAGCTTGCAGGATAGGCGGTTGGTGGTGCTTGTGGCTTGTCCGGCATGGTGTTCGACTCGACCGCGAAAAGTGTTTACTGAAGGGCCGTAGATTTTGTTGAGGCATTTGCAGATACAAGGTATTGACGGAGATTTATTCTTGTATCGCCATGTGAACATGACATCAAGATGATCAGTGGAGGAATGCCGTCATGGCAAAATGACCCACGAATCACCGTTGCCGATGCAGATGATAGAGAATTATCCCTGTATATCTCGCTCGTGCCGATAGTCCCTCTATACTGAGGCTCGACGAGAAGATCAGTCTTCCCTTTTGGTGTTCGGTGCTGAAGGTGGCCGGGTGCAACCGCCTTGTGGGGGGAGAATTGGACTTTTTGATGTAAGCCTGGAACACTTTTCCGGATCCGAATCAGCCGAACCCCTGTAGCAAGATTGACAGGAACCTCAATGATTCACATTTGACCACGCGCGGCCGGTGCGGATGAGTTGGCTTTCCCGTCTCATTGGTGTTTGGTTCAGACTATACCGTCAGTCAATCTAAGCGTTGAAGCACGTACACACGCTCCTCCAGATTTGGTGTTATCCGGATAGTTCAGTTGTGGCTTGCTGCATCCAAGTTCTAGGGCAAAGGAGGTATCCATGTGTTGTATGGAAGCTTGATACTTGGGTAGACACCCTTCGGAATGTCAGCATGAGCATCGCTCTAGCATCTCAAATCATTGGATTCATCTCCTTTGCCATCACACTGGCAACCTTGTTGGGTGCGTAAATGAGTCTGAAAGAACAGCTTCTGCCACGAATCTCATCATGTTGCAGGAGTGTATCGAGATCTTATATCAACAATTCGCAAAGCTGACACGGCCATCCCGCTTATGTTAGGCAACCTTCGGCAAGAGATCGAAGAAGAACGAGCTCTCCTGCGCTATCGATGCCGCGAAGGGGACCAGTATGGTGTCTTTCCTTCGCTGCGCAAACGGACGCGAAAGCAGCGAGAAGTGGCCCAACTTCTCCAGTCGTCAATCGATAAGATATGGCAACAGTTCAAGAATATCGAACGGCCATTCCTTATAGGAAATCCATTGCGCGCAGAGCAGGTCCAGAAGGGCGACTACTGGGGTGAAAGTGATGTCGAAGAGAAACCCCGTGCCAGACCAGATAAGACCAAGACAAGGGGTCGAATGGAGTTGGCCGAAGCAGGATTTGCTCCCGAGCATCAGCCTCATTACTATCAAACCGATCTTGCCCATCGTTTCATCTGGTGGGTTCTGTTCTAGCGACTGCACTTCGAACTGGACTAACTCCCGCTAGGTGGCAAAGTAGATCCGCTGTCGAAGACATGTTGACTCAGGTTCAACGTATTCAGATTCGCAGGATCGAGAGAGATGTGTTTGAGACCGATGAACTAGTGAAGCGCTGCTTGAACAGGTTAGGAGGCCGAGGGGGTCGTGGAAGAAGTGCACATGGCAGCTCCAGCGATAGTCGAGGTGGCGGTGGCGGTGGTATTCGAGGCATCGCCAGGCGTAACGTGAGATCGAGGACTGGCAGCTTACTGACTCCAGGTCGACGTCCAACCACAGCTAGTCAGTTTGTCCGACAACGTGAAGAAAGAGAAGTTACGCGGGCACACTCGGAGAGTGGCAGATCTCGGCAAGGTGACACCACCAATACGAGACAGCGCAACAACCGCAGTCCAAAAACACGGTATGAGTCCGAAGTCATTCACCCTGGAAGAATTTTCGTGGATGTAGGTGACAGTGAGCCTGCGCGGCGAGAGCGGATTGTGCCAGTGAGAAGTTACAGCCGCGACCGTGGCAGAGACAGATATTCTGGCTCTGAAACAAGATGAAGCCGTCACCTTCAGAGAAGATAACTTTGCATTAAACACACTCGGCAGGTTCTGTCCATTGTTGCCAGACAAAAGTGTTTGACGAGATTATTCCTTTCTCCATGCTTTGAATTCGTCTTCGAGGTGAGCTTTGAGCTGTGTGAACTTATTCCCAAACATCTTTCCGCAGCGCCAGCACTTATAATCCTTTGTCAGATTGGCATTCTGATAGCTTGTTTGGCGCCTGATATCATCCCGTGCGAGCGGGAAATCCTCTAGTGGGATGAAGAAGTCGGTATTGAAGCTGTTGTAATGCTTCCGGTGCTTCAGTCGATCCGAATGCATGTCGCGGCTGATGATGTGGATATGTAGGTGATTCATCGAAGGATGCGCATGGATTCCTACTTTGAATTCCTTGGTGAAGTCTCGTCCAGGCGGTGGATTGTCTGGAGGGTTCTCGCTTTCCATTGCAGCAATGCGTGCTTTGCATGTTTCCGAGTAAGGACTGATCAACCTGGACAACTCGGATGCCGCCAGCTTGACGGCTGCAGAGGCCTCCGTCCGCACCATGTCCAGAAACTCCTGGTCGTCCAAGGCATCACGCGGATTGAGAGTTTGTTTCGCTGGGTCTCGTGGTAGAAGAAGTAGATGGACTGTAGCTTTTGGGAATGCATCCCGAACCAGGACTGTTTTGTCATTATGTAGAATGACAATATCTGAGGGGAACTTGGCCGGCTCCAAAATGTACGCGAGGAGGCCGTTGCGTGGATCGCCTGGGTTGCTGAGCTTGCCTGTGTGCTTGAAGTCCTCTTGCTTTGGATGCTTGGATTTGGGTGACATGAGTTCTGAAAAGGCATTGCGCTTGGAGGCGAGAGCGCTAGGCTTGGACGCTTCCTCAGGCTGCTCATCAGTGACAACTCCGGACTTTGATGCCATTTCGGTCAGTGGCTGATGTATTTGTGATGTGGGAGTTGAAGTTTCACGAGCGGAAGTGTATGGTAACAAGGAAAAGCCATAGAAGGTTAGTGAAGGAGGAACCAATGAGGATTTTGAATGGACAATGCGCAGGAGGAGCTGGTCGAAGTATCACCACCATCACCACCACCACCACCACCACCACCACCACCACCACCACCACTGCTGCTGGACTCGGTAGTCAGTCAGAATATCATATCACGACTGGCGCGACATCTACGTTGGCAGGTATCCAACAAAACAACAACGGTCAAGGTTCAAAGCCACGTCATTTGCGTTTCAATACCGAAGATCTCATTCTGGGAGAAAGGCGAGACTTAGTGGACTGCCTTCAGTAATCTCCCTCCCCATCCGTCTTGTCCGCAGTGGGATGCCTGTTCTCTGTATCTGGTGTATGACTTGCATCCCATAAGAATCAAACGCCGTGGCAGAATCATCCTCCATGACTGCCAAAACCTGCCTTTTCAACCTCCCAAATAATATGTAGAAGAAGATAATCTTTCAATTTTGCGGCGCAAGCCTCAAGAAATCTTGATTCTCAACGACTTTTGAGCACCCCAAGAAAAACAATGCAAGCCAAACCAGTTAGTCCAGTTTCATTCCACGAGAGACATATGCACTCTTAAACTCCGCGCGGTCAAAGAGCCCCAGCAACCATTCGCTTGTGGGATGTGAGATGTGGGTATTGCGCCATGGGTGACCTCTTCTTCAAGCTTTCCCCGTTCCTCTACATGACCACACACCGGCTGCAGCAGCCTGCGCTGTCTGCGTGGTTATCCATCTCCATCTTTTGACCAGGGCCTAGGGATCCAAGACCAGGCGCGCCACCGGGATACCCTGACATCTCTCGGTTATATCTTCGAATTTCTCGAACGAGGTCGTAGAAGGCATTGTCAACGTTTATTCGGGATTTTGCAGACGTTTCGATGAATTTGCAGCCAAACTGTCTCGCCAACTGAGCTCCCTCCTCTTTCGAAACCACTCTTTCCGACTCAAGATCACACTTGTTGCCCACGAGAATGATGGGGAAGTAATCTTTGTCCTTGACTCGGAGAATCTGTTGCTGGAAAGTCATGATTTCTTCGAACGACTGTCGCGAGGTTATCGAGTAGACAAGTAAAAACCCTTCGCCAGTCCTCATATATTGTTCTCTCATGGCCGAGTATTCTTCTTGACCAGCCGTGTCCAGAACATCGAGGAGGGCAACTTCATCATCTATCATGCATTGCTTGCGATATGAGTCTGAAGATATATGTCAGCGTACTTCCAGAGTTTGATGACTTTCGTGATTCATGCGAACCTTCAATTGTGGGATCGTATTCGTCGACAAAGTGGCTTTGGATCAGTTGGATAGTCAAGCACGATTTGCCCACTCCACCACCTCCCACCACCACCAGCTTGTATTCGCGCAGAAACTGCAACGGTTGCGTTAGTTGTGACATTCTCTCCTGTAGGATACGAAGAGGAAATGTGTAAAATCGGGGTCAAAGCACCTTTGAAGCCATGACAGAGAGCTACAGCCACAGCTCGGGGTCTCGGAATGAAAAGCCTCGCCCAGAGACAGGTATTCCAAAAACGTTCAAGGGTGGCGTTATCCTGGCAAAGTGATGCTCAGACTGCAAAATTGCGATACAGGAGCGCCCGGCCAAAGGGCGTCCGACGAAAAGGGCAAGGGCGCAGGCGAGGACGGGTTCCGTTCGCGGGCAAAGTGATCAGGATCGACGGAAAGTGGTGGTGGAGGAGGAGAATGAGAGACAGGTGGATGATCGGTCGTCCTCGGCAGCTTGAAGTGAAACAGAGGTGTTGAAGCGCTTTGTAACAGCGACTTGCGAGGTGACTGTAGACGAGGCGAGGAGGAAAAGAGACGGAGGTTTCGATAGCTCAGCAATATTTCGAGGGGTTCGCGTTCGCTTGTGAGGCTCGGTTGAGGATAGTTTGGAGGGTAAAGGTTCAGAAGCGTCGTGCAAGATTCGAGGAACTGACGGAAACAGCGATGGTGAGTCGTGCTCGCAGAATGAACAGTGGAGAGTTTGGGTCAAGGGCAGTAGTACGCCAGGGAGGTTCTAGGAATGGGCTGGCCTGAAGTGGTGTGGATGTGGACTGAGACTCTAGTCTAGGACCAGGATCAAGGGTTCGCAGGGAGAGGAGCCGACAAGGGGGCCAGGTGGGAAGGATGAAGGGAGGCACTGCAACCACTTTATCACACCAGCCGCTGAGGAGAATCTTGTGTGAGTGTGAGAATGCGCGATAGGAGAGGGGTTGGTTGAGATTCTGTTTGACCAAACACGGACTTAGTCGGTGGTCTTATCGTGCTCGTTCTCGCGACAACAAAACTATCGGTTCGCAAAGAATCAATACATTGGGGAAGGTGGCCGTTGCAAAAGGGAGAAGAAATGTGTTTGTTCCAAGACAAGAAGAGGGCGAGGGAGACGCCAACCCGATCGCAGGCAACGCCTTTGCGCCCTCCACCATCCTTGGTTGGCTTTGTTACTTGGTGCTAGTGAATACTTGCAGTTGTTCGGTACTCCCCCAAACTACAAGTACAGACCATAATCGGCGATAGGGTCATCAGGTGCCCTACCTGTGAGGAGGTTCTATTGCTTGCCAGATCTGCTATACTTTCGGGGTGGTGTGGCCTTGTCCTCTCTTTCTACGCAGCCATTGTTGCCTTGCGGATACACCTACGGCCTGCATTCACCTCATCGCCTCTCCTTGGTGATCAAGTCCCGATCAACTGTGTTTTTGTTCTCGGTTTTTTCTTCACAGCCTCCGTTGCCCCCTATTCCCTACCGAAAACGAACGCCCCTACGCTCGCCTAGCTGCCGGCAACCAGTTGGTGGAGTGCGGCCAACAAGGCAATGAACCATGGCCCCTAGCGTGGTGCCCATGTTAGTGCTAGAAAATGCATCCCCTTCCTCTGGTGACCTTGACCCAACCACGGCTCCCCAAGAAAACCGGGTGGGCGGTAACCGCTGAATACCCGCCCGCCCAGTTCCAGCCAAAACTTGCACTTAATGCCTCGACTAGCCGTTGATTCGGCGGCTCCTCCACCCATCACACCCGTTCACACGCCGTCTCGAACATGCCTTCCCCTAGCACCGCGCTTCTATCCCTTGTCAACGTCCCAGAAACCTTCCTCCTCTTACGTTGTGGCTTCCAGGCGTTCGGGACATCATGCTACGCACTACCGAGTCCTTACCTCCAGGCCGGGTAGGGGCAAGAAGCAAACATGAGATAACTGTTATACCGCGTTGCCACTGCCTCCTCTGTTGGACAGGATCTATAGCGACATGGCCAAGTACGAGTACATATGGCAAAGGTCACCGTTTTGGCCTACGAGTTCAAGCACAAGCGTCATTCCCGCCTCTGGTTGTTATTCCCACCCAGCCCCTGGCAGAAGCGAGCAAACCAACCCACAGACCAGTCCGTCTTGGCTCTTGAGGGCAAGGGGATTCCGTGAAAGGACAAACACGACCAGTCGTTACCCACACCGTCGGAAATACGAGCAGAAGTGGTATCGATTTGATCTTCCTCCTGCCCCAGCAGGCCCGAACATGATGACAGGTACGAGAGCTGTGGAGGAAGATGGGTGTCAGCTCGCCGATCGTCAACCCCCTTTCAGATATCCCACTTAGTCAGGGTGACATTCTGGAAAATTGCCCATATTTGAAGTCTGCTCGATTCCACCCGGACCTGCGCCACTACTGGCAATCCCTCATGCTTGAGCGATGATATGCACCAATATGAAGGCACAAGCAACCACGACGCTATCATTTGATGCATTGACTGCGAGTGTTCGGTCCACGTGGTTTCCCAGGTGTGGCACCTCGTCACTTCATTCGCAAGCTAGCTGCTTGATATTTCCAAGGATGCAATAGACACGACCTTCTGACGAAAATCTCCCCACGTCTTCTATTCGATTTGCGTAGCATCCTGGCGACCTAGGCAATATTTTGCATGAGATCGCCTGCGACACATGTAACGACCTCGCTTACAGGATCTGGATCGAGCTTAGGTAGTTCGTTGAACGGAAAAGAAACCACCATCTTGAAGGGTGTCTTTAGAAAAACGACACACAAGTTGATCTTTAGGGTTCTAGAATAGCGTCATGCATCTTTATCCTTTCTCACATCCGTCTCATCGTCGGTATCATCTTCACCTTCTACTCCGATCCTCATGCCCCTGACACCCGCAGCCACTTCCGCCTCTAACGTGTCCATGTATTCTCGATCACTGCCCACCAACGTCACCACATTCCTGTTCTTGCCCCATCGAGGATAACTTCCCACCTTGATGCCCTTGGGCTCGACCTTGGCAGCTAATTCAGTAAGGTAATGTGCGACCTGGCTCTCCGCTAACGGAGTGCTAAAGAGCATTCGATACATTCCCTTGCCTTCGGGATCTTTCAGACGAGGAAGAATGCGAGGCTTCATCCCGTCCAGCAGCGTCTCGAATATCCTCGGCACACCAGGTAGGATGTGGATGTTACCGTTCACCACCGAGATTGGGACCCAGAGATCCTCCTTAACAAACAAGACCTGCTCCTCATCGGGGATATTAGGGTCCGTTGGGAGTTGGGCCATGCGCATTTTCGCGGTCAAGGCTGGTGAAGGTTTATCCCAGTCGAAATCTGGCTGTGATTTGTGAGGTCGAGAGTATTTCCTCATCTTGGCCATGGTGGGCTCGTGCAACTTGAGCTCAAGCCCAAATGCTTTGGCTATTGACTTGTACGTTATATCATCGTGGCTTCAGTTTGTCAGTGGATGCACAGCCGGCTCAAGATGGAGTGCTGGAAAGACATACGTGGGCCCGATCCCACCACTCGTTACCACGAAATCATAGTTCTTAGACATGCGCCTAGCAGCCTCTATTATCTCGTCTTCATCGTCTGCAATAACCTCGATTCTCTTCAATTGCATCCCCAGGGAAAAGCAGAAGCGGGCAAAATATGCGGAGTTAGTGTCGACAGTCTAACAACATTCGCGCACAGGCGTCAGTCCTGCCTTTATCCCAAGCCACCATTGCGGATGAGTGTTCTGACCTTCCCACCTAGCACCTCATCTCCTATAACTATACATCCTGCCGTATGTATCGTTCCATTTTTGGACGCAGAGCTGGAGTCGGCTTTAGATGATGTCATCTTCGAAATCGAGGACGAGGACGAGGATAAGGCGGCGGCAGAACGGTGCGCGGAGTTCGGCAAAGGTCGTATAAGGTGTCTAGCAACTAGAGAGAGGCGAGAGAACATTGATCGCCGTGGACGATGGGGAGCGAGCGAGGGGTGATGGGTGCAATGGGAAAGACCGTTGTATTTCAACGGTAGTTTTGCATTGAGGAGAGTGATGCCGACAGAAATGCAGGGCGCAGGTTGATACATAAGCCGACAGAAGGCAGAAGGATGAATGTGCCCCACCATCAACCGACCACCGGCCAGCCAGCCCGTCCAACATCTCAATTACTCCAACGCTGACAACCCATTCCATAAAATCATCTCGCGACGCTGGACTTGCACCAAGTGATGCGAATCTCCGGCTAAGAAAATCCTCACATCGAACCGCAATCCACCGCGGACTCTCGCGTCAACTCCTACTATCTGAGGCAACCCCACTACTTGAAGATCAAGCGTCAGACAAGGCTGAGCCCTCCAGAGAGCTAGCGCCAAAGAGCACAACATCGCTGTTGTCGGAATCACTCTCCGTGACGAACAGCCCGGATCACACGGGATAGACGAGAGACCTAGTCGCGCAGGTTCTGGTAGAGTCCAAGAGGGGCCCAGTGAAACAAACATGGTATTGCTGCTCGTTCCCATCTTAGGGTTGTGTTCTCGAACATGAACACTTTGCCCCTCTATCCTACAAGCAACACCTACGCTATAGTTCTCTTATTGTTTCCCCACTGACCCAACTAGTCAGAGTCGAGGCTCTACACCTTCTCGCAAGAGACCAAGGATCAGCTGCGCAAATTCCGGCTAGGCACGTCCCGGGCGAAGACGCCTCTGGCTAAAATTTGTGAGTTGTCTTGAACCGGATGCGCTCTTGATATCCGTGGACCTCCTTGAGACTGCTATTTTCAGAAGGGTGATGCCGGCCTTGAGGAATTGAGAGGCCACGCCAGAGGAACACGCTCTGTGGGACCATCATGATCAAAGCAGCCGATCTCAAGTCCACCGTGGCCTTGCGAGACTTGGATTGATCAGAGTGTTTGCTTAGTCTCTCACCACGCAGAATGAGCATCAGAGGCTAACCGCGCCTCGTCGTTACAAAATCATATAGATCAGATCGACACCAAGACCCAAGAAATCAAACCCTCCTCCGATGACACATACAGCGACCTGCTCGAACTGGCCGACGAACTCCCAGACTCGTCTCCGCGGTTCGTCCTCTTGAGCTATCCGTTGACTTTGGTACGTCCTCCCTGCTCTCTCCAGCTTTCCTTTGCGAGCATCCTAAGAATCACGAATTATGCTGACAATGACTACCTTCCCCACCGCACAGGCTTCCGGACGCCAATCCGTTCCCTACGTCCTGCTGTACTACCTGCCCGTGAACTGCAACCCCAACATGCGGATGAGCTACGCCGGGGCGGTCGAGTTGATGCGCTCGACCGCCGAGGTGAATCGCGTGCTGGAGATTGCCGACGCCGAGGACTTGCAGGATATCGAGGCCCGGTTGAAGGGCGAGGACTGAGCGAGGAATTCCCGCGGCGCCAGGCCTGGCTCGACGGATGGGGATGGATGCCTACGTATATACATACGTTAGGCGGTTATGTGTTGATGAATGTATTTATGTATGGATATAAATACTGTAGGCAGGTATGTTTCGATTCGCAGATTCATGAACGACGAAGGTGGGAGGCACGAAGGAACGCAGAGATGGAACGCACTAAAGCCCGGAGAAAAGAATTCTGGAAATTTAAATATGCAATTCCATTTTTGACAACCTATCGCTACATTAAAAAGCTGATGTTTCATAGCGAGAACAAAGCAAATCCCTTTCTTGACCTAAGCAGCGCCACCACGCGAGACAGAACAACCTGGGCTAATGAGCTGAACCGTACAGAAAACCCCGAGACTATATCTGGGCAGATAACCTCATAAGGACGTAATAATATAGGAATTATTCCCGTTCCATTAGCATGTCTTTTTGCGCCGTTGTTCACAACTGCGATTTCAGCCTGTCAGCACCACCGCCCAAGCCCGTTCGGACAGTGAAGCCCTTAAAGTATCCCTCCAGGGCCTCCACGGTGCCGGGGCCCTCGGTTAGGCGCACAGCAATGCCAACGTGTCCGTCGGGCCTCACTACCACGACGGCGCCTTCATCCCCGGTCAGCCCGACTTTGGCGTGAGCTGAAGCTTTGGCGTCCAAGACCTTGATGTCCCTGCGGTCGTCGGCATAGACCCGGCCAGAGTAATCTCGAAACAGGGCGGGAAGGTCGGAGATCTCGATTTCTGGTCTCCTGGCGGCGATCACCAACGCGAGCGAGAAGAATCGAGAGTGCGGATTATCCATGTCGTGGTGGTTGTCTTTTCGGCGGTCCTCGCTTCCAAATTTCGAGTAGAATGAGTCCTTTGCACTTAGGTTCTCAGCGAAGTCGGCCAAAGCCTTGTGTGCGCCCTTCTTGGGCGACTGCGACAGCCCCGCGTAGATAAACAGGCGGAACGACCCGTTGAACGGAATTTCGTTTTCGAGATGAACAACATTGGCATCGACCACACGGGTCACGTTCGAGGGTGGCATGATCCGACCGGGACGCAGCTTATGGCTGTCGGTGATGATAAGGGGGTGCTGGAAAGGATGCTCGATGGAGTGGTTGAAGATGTTTGGGTTGTAGGCAACCCCGAATCCGGCAGTGAATTCGCAGTTGGCCTTAAACATCTCGACAAATTCGTTCTTGTGTTCGCCTTGGCCATGGTTGTGCGCGTCGTCCACTTCTGAGGCGGTGGGTTGTCGTGCCGAGAAGAGTGCAGCGTATTTGTTGTCAAAATTAAGGAGTGTCTCAGCAATGAAGCGTCGCTCGACTTCGTAGGTAGACAGTATGTCTCGTGAAGCGAAGCCGGATTCTACCAAGTGCACCTTCCATGCAAAGTTGATGGCATCGTGGAAGGCCGTGTTCATACCCTGCCCAGCCTTGGGGGAGTGTGTGTGGCACACGTCGCCTCCCATGAAGACGCGGTGATCCAAAGTGTACTTGTCGGCGATTCCTTGACCGATCGGGTAGACAGAGTACCACTCGACACGGTCCCATTCGCAGTAATAAGGCTGGAAGATACGTTTGGCAGCAGCCTGAACTTGCTCCACAGTGGCTGTCTTCCGAGGAGAGAAGTCGGGATCTGTGGAGCTGGCAATCTGGATGTAGAGTCTGACCATGTTGTTTTCGCGCGGAATCACCATGATACTGCCATGATCCGAGTGAATCGTGCATTTCATTTTGATGTCGGGGAAGTTGGTTCGGACAACGCCATCCATAACCCCCCAAACATGGGAGATTGGGTCCTTGTGTCGGATCTGTACACCCAGCTGCTCACGCACAAAACTCTTCGCGCCTTCACCGCTGAAGAGATATTTCGCTCGGACGGTCTCGGTAACGTTGCTGTCAAGGTTCTTCAGGTCTACCTCGACTGGATATTCCGGGTTCTTGTGGTTGGTCTCAAACCGAGTGATCGTCCAGGGTCTTTGAACCTTGGTACCGTTCTTCTCAACATCTTCAATGAGAACTCGCTCGATCAATCCTTGATGAAGAAGCGCCGTGAAGGGATACCGGGCGTCTAGGAAGTCTGGACAACTGGCCCAAGTACCTGTGCGCACAATCTTCCCACCAGGTGATGGGTCCCAGAATGCCACCTCAAAAACTCGCGCGGGGTCATGAGCCATGATCTTTCGCTTCAGTCCCATATTTTGGAGGATCTCAAGCGACCGCGGTTGAATACCATCGGCTCGTCCGGTTGCTGTTGGAACTGGTCGGTTGTCGATATGTCTGACTTTGTAACCCCATCGTGACAGTGATACTGAAAGCAGTAAACCCACTGGCCCAGCACCTATGATCACAATATCATACAAGGGTATCTCTGCCGGCATTTTGAGATGTGGTTGGAGAACTGGATGGACAAGAAGTGGAGGCGCAGTCAAGATACACAGAGGTAGACAAACGAGGTACCGTAGAGTTTTGTCAGGGTTGTCACAATGAGGACGAGGTTGATGACTTTGAGACAAATGAATGGGAAGAAGAGTGTCAATTTATCAAATTGTATTCTAACGAAGTGATGCTCGGCTTTGGGGCATGGCAGATATCTGGAGGCCCGGCGCGCCGGGCAGAGTGAGCGTCAAGACGAAGCGAGGAGCAGGACCGTTCCCGAACCAGTCACCGAAATCGTTGCCGCAGGCAGCTGTGAGAACTGGAGGTGGGTGTGCAGATGTATGGAGTAACCTGAAAGGGCAGGCTGTGGTGTTATCCCGAGCAGGTCCAGATCCGCTTCCTTGGGCATTTTTTTTAATTTGATCAGTCACCAACCAGGCAATGCATAGCGCCAGGGAAAAGGAAGTGGCGGCCATTGAGAACGTTATTTGGGGAGTAGAAAACGTCATGGAGGAACCATCAAGGTCAGACCGCGCTGTGGACGGTAGTCCCCCGCAGATTCGGATATGAATATCGGCAATCTCGCTCGTCACGTGAGGCTGCCCCTTTCAAGGAGGAGGTGGAGAGTGGGGAGACATGTGACCTGGACTTAGCGCCTTGGCTCAGAGCAGTCTTCTTTCGACTTCAGCCAGATCTCAAACTCCCTCCCTTTCCACGACATGTTTGCTCATCCACTGAAGCAACAGCGTAATGGGGTGATGGGTCTGAATGTCTGGTTGGGAATGACAGACTCGCAGAGTATGTCTTTGTCGGGCAGTATGACGTTGCTATACGGGGTAAGCACTGTACCACGCTGTGAGTGACCAGCCATGCTGGGTCCTGAATGGAGGAGCTTCGTTGTGAAAATCAGGTGAACTGAAGACATCAATAATGAGACAAGCTCAATACCGGTCAATGTGGGGTAAATGACACGGTGAAGTCCTCCGAGCTGAAAGGGGACGGGTGTTCAGCATGAATTGAATTGAGTGAAGAGTCTGTGAGTGAACAGTTTGCCTTTGACAATACCAAGCACCTGGACTGGACAATGAAGAGACGGTCATCTTCTCTTGCAACACGTGCCTGTTGGATGACTTGCTCATGGTCTTGTCGTTGCCTTCGGAACCGGGACGCAAAAACATTCTTCCGGTGACACTTGGCACGAGACTGTGACCGCACCGGCAGCGAGATATCATTCAGACGAATTCAACCCATTGCTCCCTCTGCATCTCATCCAAAACGCTCATTTAAGTCATCTCTGGAGGTTGGGTGAGGCTTCACTCGTTCCTCTCCTGCCTCCGTCGGCGCCATCATTTCCTTGTTGTCATCGTGTCGAAACTCCCTGTATTGTCCGCATCATGTCCTAACACGCTACTGTGCTTGCTCTCTTTTTCTTTTCTGCGCACTTTTTTTTGCGTTCTTTGTATCCACCATCATGGACATCACGCGTCGTCGCATCCTGACGGCTACAGTCCCCTCACCGTTGCTCAACAACTTGAACAGAATCGAAGACCTTGGTTGTTTCGACGAAGAAGAATGCCGCTTCTTCCTGCGGGAAGTTGGTGAGCGCGTTGTGCCTGTCTATCCTTTCTCCTTCGGCATGGAAGAGGTGTACAGTCTGATCCTCGAGCGATATGGATATGCAGGTCTCCCCGATGTCACAAGTGTACTGCAAGATCTCCTCGAAGATGAACAAACCGCAGCCGGCTTAGGAGATGATGGAGACGTTTGGCGCTCGTGGCGTCACAGTTGGAGACACCGAAATGTAAGTCCCTCATCCTTACACCAGGGAAAATGACATTGACACCATTCACAGGATGACGCCCTCAACCCCTTTATTCCGAAAGTGGGAAGCTTTGTCCTGCAGCAACCCACCCAGCTCCACATTCGCAAACTCAAGGCACAGAATTTCATCTTCAAATCCGAGAAAGCCCAAAGAGTAGAACGAGCCCGGGAAGCGGAAGAGACTGGAAAAAGAAATGCGCTGGTAGAGATCTCTCACAACGAGAACAGAAGAGTCGAGTATCCTCAGAGTCATTTCTTCACCAAAGCCAGGCCCTCAGATGAAGAGAACTCGTACCGACTCCCCTCCACCACATATTCCCATCAGAGAACCAGAACTTTGTTGGCATCAGAGCAGGAGCCGTCACCAACCCCTGAGCAAGTGACATTGAAACAGTCAAGCACTGCTAGAGGATCGCACGTCACCGAAACATCAGCAAGTGGCTCTTCGCAGCAAGAATTCGTTGAGGTGGATCCGTCTGTTCTTGATGCAGACGTCGATCCAGCCCTCTTGGTCTCTTTCGAGATGCTCTCTTCCCATCAGCCGTTCTTGGACCAAACACCTAACCTGAGAGGCGGGCACGGCGAAATCGTCACTCTTCGACAGATTGGCTCCACACAAGATACGTCTTCGAGCAAGGAACACAATGTTCAGGAAGGAAGCTCGCCACAGTCGCTTGTGCTGTCGAGTCCAACTTATGTTGGTTTTTGTGAGACCCCTGGAAGTCGTGACTTGTCAGATCCTCCCAGCCCTGTGACCGCTGGTAACATCGGGCCGGCTAAAGAGTTGAGCAAATGCGATAGACAAGAGCCTGCGGAGCATCACAAGTCAGCAGAGAGACAGCGCAAACTCTCAGACAGTCTCAAACATTTTGCCCGACGCCCCCATGGTGACAGCTCCGAGCCGAGCAAGAGGACACGCGCTGCTAACCGGCAAGCCAGAGTTTTGGACGGGGCAATATGGCTCCCAAGGGTTCGCAAGCGGCACTCGTCACAGATCAATCTTCCTGGGGATGAAGAGGCCGTGGTGGAGGAGAGGAAGAAATCGATTGTACGACGCAGCCTTACACCGGTCTGGCAGAAACGCGAGTCTTCACGCAACAGTTGGATGGAAATCATGCGAAACTTCTTTCGGTCTGAGTCGGGTTCTAGCCAAGCAAAACAGCCCAGAGCTGATAGCATTGCGATTCAAATTCAACCCACCGTCCCAAATTCGCTCGCGTCCCCCAACAACAACACCATCAGCAGCACCCACTCACCAGTCGAGCAAGAGCAACAACCATCCCCATTTGGACTTGACGGAACCATTGACCTCACACCATTCGCATCAAGCGCCATCATGGACTACAACAAGCCTCTGCCGCTGAGTCCTGGCGAAATTGTTCAGTCTCTCTCAACTCACGCGAGCCTGGCACATTTCCGTCAACCAGAACTTGCAACCTCCAAGAACACTGTTGCCTCAGCAGATTTCAAGCCAGACTGTCAAGCTCCGACTGCTCATCGTATCAAGCGAAAAGATGTCCCCGTCAAACATCAGCTCTCTCCTGTCCGCGAACACCAAGACAAGTTTGGCGCACACGCAGCTGAGCCTCAAAAGATAGAACAACCACCACTCTCGTAAGGTGTCTTCCCAAAGCTAGGCGATGGCAATGGAAACAAACTGATGGTTGAGAAAAGGGCGATCACGTACTCTAGCATTGCTAATATGAATCCATTTGTGGACAATCCATCCACTGAAACTCCTGTCATTCTTCCTGCTGTCTCTGCGCCCGAACCTCTCTTTGCCGTCCGTGGACAAATACCAGATCATCTTCGTGGCTTTCCACCCACCGTCCCTGAAGACATTGCCTTCTCCATCCGTCAACAGTTTCCCAACTTCTGTTTGCCTCCACCTCCACCTCCACCTCCACCAGAGCGACCTGAACGCCAGACGTCCAAGTTACCCCTACTGACCCCAATCAAGAACCTGATCAACAAACGCCCTGACTCCGAGGAGGTGAATTATGGTACACCCACACGAGTTCAAGGATCAGAGAAGAAAAAACGCAAGTCGAGCCTGCAGAGGTTTGGAGACTTCTTGAAACATCCCTTTGTGGTAAGTGTTGGGACTACATTCAAACATGACTTTTTGAGCCAGGCTAATTAAGTTGAACAGTCACAACCACCTACCGAGGCGGATAAAGTGGAAGAGTGGATGAAGGAAAGCGCCGCAGCCATCGCGCCTCGCACTCTCGTGTCTCTCGATCCAGCGACCCAAGCCCGCGTTCTGGGAGACATGGAACTCCTCCTGGTCACCGCCACCAACAACTTCCTGGTCCACGAGGCCAACGCTGCACGTCTCAACCCGGAAATTGTCATGCGCTTCAGCAACGAGTGGAGAGCCCGTGGTCTGCGCCCTGTGGTCGAGTTCCTCTACGACTGCCGCACCCAGTACCACCTCGTACTGGCCAACATGCACACCGTCCGATTCTCAACCACCTGCGAAGAGTCGTTTTACCTGCGCGACTCATGCATGGAGGTCTGGTCGACTATCCTGGCCGACGTGGCCGTCCACGCCTTCTGCCTTCCCGACGACATCGTCGTCAAGCACCTCTACGCCCTCCCCCAGGTGTTGAGGATGCTGCGGGCCCCCGAGTCGGCCCTCGCGGCCGTCCGAGGCCTTCAACTAAAGACCTCGGCCAAGATCACGGAGCGCAAGGCGGTGGGCCGCGCGCGAAGGGCGGCTCGGGGCCCCTTTGCCATCCGCGTGCCCCAGTACGGGGACGGGATGTTTCACCGGCGCGACATCAGCGTCGAGTCAGAGGAGGACGTGTTTGGGGGGTTTGAGGCCGTCGTGGCCAACATGCCGGCGCCCGCGTCGCTTGTTGCCGCGCTGGACGGTCCCGGCCCGACCGTCCACAAGGACGATCGGGTCGGCGTCCTCTAGACGTCAACCGGTTTCTTGTCTGTCTTGTTTTTTTTTTGCTCTCCCTTCTTTCGAGAGTGGATATGTTACGTTGTGGCTAGGGCTGGGGCCGGGGCGTGCTGGGGGCTGTGCTGGGTTGTGTAAGGGGTGAATATGGCGGCGTACTTTCTGCCTGTTGGTCGCCATTTCTAAATGGCCAGGCCCTGTCTTGTTCTTGTTAGAGAGTCCTGTCTTTTTCTTTTGTCTCGGGGAAAAAAAAAATTAAAAAAAAAAAAAAAAAAAAGAACACATTTTCATTGTCACTTTTCTCGCGTAGTCTACGAGCCTGGGACTACATCTATCCTACGATCCACTGGGAGGGGAGGTGGGAAACCCCAGCGGAAAGAAACGACAAACTTACCAAACGAACAGCATCACGGCCACAGGAGAAAACATACAAGTAGACTGCAGCAAAAGGGACATGATCTCAATCAATCCATCAGTCATGAATCCTTGTCAGATGAACCAGATTCCCCTCCCGATGGAACTGTTCATATCTTCATGACCTTTGTTTGCACACTATGTCCTAGTCTCCTGATCTCCTAGTCTCCGGCTTGGACACATGTTGGTACATTTACGAGAATCCGGCGTCTCGTCCAGGATCTAGTCCTGCCTGATCTTCAAAATCCATGAAACCAGATAATGCTGCAAGGCCGGTATAACACCGCACACATTCCTCCACCAATGGCCTCAGTACCTGGTCCACTTTGCCACTTACGCCTGCGTGCTTTTTGAACACACCCACCATGTTCGGTCGATATTCCGTCAGAAAGGACCGGGCGAGATATTGGATTTGCTCATTTTGAGCACCTCTGGAGAGGAAAGCGGAAAGAAGGACGCGGAGGGTCGATGTTAGGAGGACATAGTACGTTCGGAGGGCGGATAGAGCGGAATCGGCAGCATGGTTGTTGGATTCGGGCGCGTCGCCGGAAGTGGAAGGAATCGAGATGCCGAGATCGGGGTCCGCTCGGAAAAGGCTGGAGTCGCGAACGGCAGACATGAGGCCTGCGTCGAGGAGAGCTCCTGCGCCGTCCCGGGTGCGTGAGAGTTGCAGAAGGAGAAACATGCGCGCTTCGAAGACGGAGAGAAGATAACGGCGATCTGCAGGTTGGGCGCGTTAGCAATGAAATAATGATCTCGCCCATGCTAGGTTGGGAGACGTACAAACTGGTTCCGAGCTCTGAAACTCAGCCGCGACGTGCTTCAGGGGATCGACGAGGATCTGGAGCACATTGGCATTGACGAATGAATTGAGCACGAAGCTGGACTTCTCTGAGCGTGCCAGGGAAGTAAGGAACGACAAAAGATTCAAAGCGTTCAGCCTGCAGGCGTCCACTCCATCTTCTGCATCATCACACAAGATTTGCACGACGCGTTGACTCGCTGATCGCACACAGTCCATACTGTTACGTCTAGCTTTGGCGTCGACATCCGAGGCGCCACCAGTCGAAGACGTGATGCGACTCAAGTACTGTGAGCAAATGCTGTAGAACACCGTCCTCAAATTGGTGTTGGAGCTAGATGCTGCGATGCCTTCGACGGAGGCGCGGAAGAGCTGGAATAACTTCTCTGTGATGAGATTATTCATGTGGGCATTTGAAAGATCTGTTTGGGAGAGGGAGAAGAGCAAGGCGTCAGCAGCTCGTGCCAGTTCCATCACATCAGCCCTGCCATCGACAATGAAAACATCGAGCTTCGGCAGCATGGCCTGGAGCATTTGTAAGATAAATTGCGCTTTAGTCGTCGGCTCCATGGGACAGGCTTCAATAATAGCGATGAGCATTTCAATGTACTCGTGTAGTGCGTCGCTTCTGGCTTTATGGGCAAGGATAGATCTGTTTCGAGCTTCGATTGTGGCCAGTATGGCATCGGCTTCGTCAATCAGAAATTGCTCGTCGATTTTACTACTGCTGGGAGCCGTGGCTTGATTCTTGATGATGTCGGCTCGGTAAGCATGGAGATACTCGCGGATCATCTTGATATCGTAGACGCTGGACTGACCCTCTGCGACGTCTGTCAAATAGACCTCGAAGTCAACTCCTACATAGAATTGAGGGTCCAACTCTAGATTGGTGGACAGATCGAGCTCGAGGAAGTCAAAAAGGGCAAATACATCAGGGTTAGTGATGATACTGCCGTCCACGTTTGTAGTCTTGCCTTGTAGAGTTGACAAGGTCTGTCGTAGAACTGTCGACAGCCCATCTTTCGCCGCTGATCGTATTTCACTAACAGTGTAATTGTACAGAGACGCCCGAAATGTGAGAAACTCGGCAAGAGCTTCTGCTGATGTCGTATACCAGAAAGCCGGGGCAAGCACACTGTTGCCGTCCCAAAGAGTTTGTTGGTTGACGACGGGTAGACTGATGTACAAAGATTGTAAGAATTGAAACCGTCGTAGTTGCCCAACAACAATTGTTCTGGATATCGGAGACGACCATAGGTGTCTCAGCACACGCAGAGCGGCTGCTTTCATGTGTATCAACCAGGATGACATGATCCCACCCTCATCATCGGGATAATTTTGTGCCAAATCGACAATGGTGTTGAAAACGGCTGTCGCTGCATCGATCGAGTCAGAAATGGTCAAACGTTCGCCCAGTCTCGCGAAGCCTATCAGCAGGTGCGCGATGTTTGGAAGGTCGGGCTGCGTTTCGAGGCACGCGTTGAAGAACGCTAGAATGCCGTCTTTGAGGAGATAGCTGACCGACCCAAACCCTTCCTCAAGCTCCCGGACCTCGAATTGCAGCCTTGCAGACAGATTTCTTGCTATTGGCTCGAGTTCAAAGGCTGGATCAGGGCCCAACATGTCCACAACTCTCCGCGTTCGCCCGAGGGTCGGATCGCTAGCCAGGAAATGGTTGTTGAGCTTTGGAGAGCTGGAAATCTTCTGCAGCAGAGCCAGAGCGCGAAGGGCGAGCTCCGAGTGCCCAGTAGCAGAAAATTGGCAAAGCCTGAGCACAATCTCCGGGTTGGCAGCCAGACTGTCTTCTAGGCTGTTCACATTGGGACGAGCAAGTGGGCCGTCGTGTGCTGAGTGAGACTGGACCAGTGGTCGCACTATGTCAAAAAAAGTGGGCTGCAGGTCAAGCACCCGGTTGATGATGTCGATTGAACGTTGTAGACTGAGAAGTAAAGGTGAGTCCAGGAGAGCCGCTTCTACAGCTTCTCCAGGCACGCGCAGAGTTTCCATTAATGGCTTGTTCATCTCGCTGCCAAGGATCCACTGCATTAATCTCGCAAAAGGACTGCGTTGAGCATACGATGCCGCCTCAGGCATTTCTTGAAGAGCATCGTGGGCGGTTGTCGTTCGGTCAAGCATCGCCACGTAGTCTTCGTTGAATCCCTCGAGGCCTACCGCCACAAACTCGAGACAATGAAAGGAGCCGATTGATCGTTGGAGCTCATCAGTAACTTCCGGGAGAGCCTTGGCAAAGATTTGTCCGCATACAAAGTCGACGTAGGGTGTTATTCCGGGGGCTCGGTATGATGCTCCAAGATCTTTGGGGAATGGAAGCAAATCGGTCCCGAGCCCTGTGGAAGGTAACGGAGCGACTAGATCCCGGAGGAATACGACGAAGGCGTCATACTGATCAAATGACATCGCTAGTGAATTGAGGGTGCTCTGTAGGTTGAGTAGAGTTGGCTTGGGGGGCGCTATCGTTTTGCTAGCGCTTGGTCGGGCTCTGTCATGGCTGTTTGCGGCCCAGTCGTCCACGATCTGCCACAGTGCGGCCGCCGTTTGAGCAGTTTTGTCAGTCAGCAGCGCGTCCAGTGCTGCAAACACACTTGCTCTTAGATAACTCGGGACCGGACCGGAACTGAGAAGCAGGAGAGCCTGCGGGAAGGCGGGGGTGACGGTTTGTAGAATGTACTGACGGGTACCACCGGGCTGTCGACTGAGATGAGCGAGTAAGCGCAGATAACACGAGAGCATGACAGGGCTCTCCAGCTCGTTCATATCGGTGGGCTGAATCTTTCGCACATTGGGCAGTTGGGATGTGATAGGACGTTCATGGACTTTCTGTGCATAAAGTTCCAACTCGGCAAAGATCTGTTGATAGTTCATGGACGGAATGCGTCTACCACGTGTGGGCGCAGGCTGTGAGTCGTCCAGCAAGAACTTGTGGGCAGCTTCCGCACACTCCTGCTCTTCTGAAATCGAGCATAAGAGTTCGCAGAAAGCGCTCACCCTTGGTACAGTTTGTCGGCGGGATGCCCACTGCAGGAAGCCATACAAGTTACTGTCGGGGTCTTCCCACCATTGCTCTGCAGCCTCAGGTCTGCCTTCGAAGGCGAACGAGATGAGGATGAGAAAGCATTCCAGGTGGAGCTTGCTCACGCTTGTACCTTGATTGGCAGGGGGTAAGCCTTCTTGCATCGCTGTCAACTGATTCAACCTCTGGTCGTCTTCTTCGGTCCTGAGTTTTCGTATTGAGTCCGGCATGTTCGAAATGAATGCCTCTGTGAAATTCTCCAGGGATTGCATGAATTGCAACCGAAAATAGGATGACGTTTGCTCGCCTTCGAGCGCAAAACTTGAAGTGTCGCTGAGAAGCAGAGCCACCAGCTCCTGCCGGGCAGGATGTCGCCAGACATCTGAGTTGGTGCTTGTACATATTGCAAGCATAAATTCCAAGGCATCCTCCTTCAATGCTGCCTTGACTGCATTCGCTCGTTTGTCGGAACCAGCGTCCTGGTCGGACAGGTCGCGGAATTGCCCGCTATATTCAACAGTCCACCAGAGACTTAACACCGCCTGGAATGGCCTGATGGGCGCTGAGGAAGCATCTTGTGGCAGTGAGCCAAATACAGAGTCGAGGGAAGCAGTGCTCTCTTGAGAAAGGTGGCTCCCGGGAGAGCCGTATTGCCGAAATGCTGCGGAAAATGCGGGCAGATAGTGGACGAGATTAAGATCGAGGCGATTCCAGCGAGGTAGAACACCGTGGAGCTTTCGCAGATCTTCCTGGTTGGTATAGTCTCCT